ACAAACAAAAAAAAAAATCTACATTTGACTATGTTATTATTAGTGATACAATGACTTAGCTATGCAAACGATAATAATAATATACTAAATTAATGATGGTTAATATAATGATATAATTAGTAATTACAATTGATACACTCTAAAAAATAGGTGGTGAATATTTCCTGGTGAAATATTTTTAACACTTTCCTGGTCTATTTTACCAATGCTCCTGGTTATTAACGCTAACCAAAATAATGTTAAAATCCTACTCAACACAGAATCTGGTGAAGATATACTCATCTCATTTCTGATTGGTTTATGAATATGTGACGTCTTAAGTGACATCATTTGTTAGCCATTTTATTGTTCGCGCTCAAAGTTTTCATCACGACGACGCGGTAAACTTGATGTCCGATTGATTGTCGTTCAAAGTGGTTATTCTTGTTTTAAAATGACGAGCTATGTATCGGAAAAACTTGAGGAGTGGAATCTTCAAAGTTTGAAAGAGATATTTGAAGGTGAGTTTTGTAGAACTGTTCAAATTCAGATCGACACTAGGCCTAGGCCCTAACTTCTACACTAGGCTTAGAATTGGAATATGAAAAGGTAGGTAGGGCCTAGGCAGGATAATAGTTGGTCCAGGGAGTCGTTCCAACTTCTGGTTGGTCTCCCATTCAAAAGGAAGATTCCACCTAGCCTCGGGCCTCTATACTAGGCTGTACTACTACTAACCAGTATACTAGGCCAAGGTGGGTAGAAATTCTGATTTTTCCTTTCAATTCTTGGCGCATTGATTGGAATAGGAGGTAGGCTAGTTGGCCTAGAGGGGAGGCTAGGTAATAACAAAAATTCGCAGTAGGTGGCCAAGACCCATGATGACCTAATAAGGCTAGGCTACTCTGATTGGTCAGCTTGGTTTAGTTGACCCCAACCTTCAGAATATTTCTGCCTTTACTTTATATATACACGAACAGAAACAACTCTGCCTGAAAAAAATGCTTGTTCGGTGCAATTTGTAAAAAAAAAGAGCACAAGTTAAATAAACTTTTAATATTAATATTATTTTTTATGCATCATTTTTTATATCCAAGCCCAATAAAATATCTACCAGCCTTTTATTTAGAGATAAACCTCATTCACTTGTATGCATAGCAACAAGTAGTAACAAGCTCTCAATTACTTCTAATCTCATTTTAACTACAACAGCATAAATACCTGTCTAAGATAGTCACACACCCTTCATTCATCAGTTCCAGTATATTTTATCTAGGCTATACAGATTGATTGACTACACAAAGTTGATGTTCACTGTATAAGAGTCACGTTTTATCAATGAAAATTTCTCTCCTTACTAGTATTAATATATGCAAACAGTAAAAAGGTGCTTCCCTCCCCATAGTATTTTGTGTTAGATGCTGATGCTTAATTTTATTTCACCTAAACATGACTATGAGAGACTACTTCAGTAGTACTAGTTTTATTTATTTAATTAATATGCTATAGCGGCAAGGCTTTAAGAACTTGGTGGTCCTGGGTCCAGCACCACCACATTTTAAAGCTGGACTAGTAAAATAAATACTACAGGCAATATATATACAAATTATTATGGGCTAGTTTTTAACAATATTTTCAGCCCCTGGAAGGTTTACATTCGAATCCTTGTGGTGGCTGAGTTACTTTTTTATTTTCAATAAAATAGTATTTCTATACTACTTCATGTCTAAATTTATTTATTTAACTATTGAATTTAAAACAAAATTATCTCTAGCAGAAAGCTGACGTTATTACTGCTTACCAACATTTGCTCAACCTGTCTACTGTAGATGTTTGATTTAAAACATTTTTTTAGGTACAGACAGTGACTTGTACATTATTTACCATTATAATTTTTAAATGTTTTCACAGAAAACTTGATCGATGAAGAGGCTTTTCTGCTGTTAGACGTAGATACAATCAAAGAATTAATTAAACCAGTTGGACCTAGACTGAAGTTTATCGCTAACTTAAAGAAACTTAAAGAAGACATGGTATGAAGTAAACTTAAAATCTTCATTCACTGTAGATTTAAAAGTTTTAAGATGGTTTATGTTTGTCCGAAATGTGCCGCTGTAATTGATGGCAATGCTAATAGACTTATTTCACATCTTAAAAATAGACATGCACTTCTTTTTGGAAGTTCATTTACGTGTGCAATAACATGTTCTCAAGAAGGATGTAAGCGTTCTTTTAGGTACAGGTATGCGTTACAGCGACATCTTGAAAAAAATCATGTTTCGGTTGAAAATAACGCTGATGTTGCTAATTATGATGAGAGATTTCAAAACAATATTGATGACCACAATGAATACAACTTTGATGATGAAGAAATTGCAGAAGATGTAGAAATTGCAGATGATGTAAATTTTTGGGATGATTTTAGCCAAGAGAAAATTACAGAAGCTGTGGCAGTTTCTATTGCTAAAATGAAAGCTTCCAGTAGTGTTGTGCAGTCTACAGTAAATATGGTTGTTGCAGACTCCTCACAATTATTTCTTGATATAGTTGGTGGTTTAAAGGAAAAAACATCTAAATTTTTGTATGACAGAGGATTTCGTGAAGATGACGAGGAAGTACGCAATTTGCTAGAAACATTTCAGCGTTGTGAAGTACCATATCAGCAACTTGAAACTGTGTATCAGCAGGATAAGTATTTTGTCAATTCTGGATTTTTTATTAAGCCCTTAGAGGTCCCAATTGCTTTAGGATATTTTCCGCGGCATAATAGACTTACTGGTCACGTTCAACAAATTGCAAAACATATTACCTTTCAGTACATACCCTTACAGAAGCTTTTAAAATGTATTCTTGAAAGTAAAAATTTCATGAATACGGTGTTACAGTATCGGAGTATGGATGATGGAATTTTACGAGATTTTCATGATGGTCAATTTTGTAAAGAACACGCTTTTTTTTCCAATCCAGAAAATATAAAGCTCCTTATCTACGTTGATGAGTGTGAGGTTGCTAATCCTCTTGGCTCCAAGGCAGGGCTTCATAAAATTGGAGTGATTTACTGTACAATACTAAATATACCACCAAAGTATCGTTCATCTTTGTGCAATTATTATCTTGTTGCAATGTTTAACGCAGGAGATGTAAAAAATTATGGTTATGATAGCATTTTAAGGCTTCTTGTTGCAGATATTAAAGAGATGGAGACTAATGGTTTGCATATTGACAGTGATGTGTACAGTGGAATTGTTAAAGTAAGCATAGCTCAAGTTACTGGCGACAACCTTGGTGTTAACGGTATATGTGGATTTGTTGAAAGTTTTGTTGGCAATTATTATTGTGTGCATTGCAAGATGCACAGAAATGATATGAGGTACTCAACTACTGAAAAAGCGAACTTTCTTCGTTCACAAGAGGGTTATGAAGCAGACGTAGACATCAATGATGCATCAACAACTGGAATAAAATCAACATGTCTACTGAATGAAACGGATCATTTCCATGTTACCAGAAACTTTTCTCCTGATATAATGCATGATCTTTTAGAGGGTGTGTGTGGTTTAGAGGTTTATCTTGTCATTGGTGCATTAATACAAGAAGGCTATTTCACTTTAGATCTACTAAATAGCAGAATTACAAGCTTTGATTATGGATT